GAAAGATTTTTAAGATTGACCTTTATTCCTCCTATTGGGCCCTGCCCCTCTACCTCAAAGGGGTGCCTAAAATGCTATGGGACAAAATTGGTTAAAATCCCTCCATCGATCGGTACAGAAAAAGAAGGATTTTGAAGTTTTACCTCCTTTTCCTGTATTTGGTCCCACCCCTTTGCCCTAAAGGAGTGTGAGAACACCCACTGGTTATATAAAATTAAGTCCTTTTTGCCCAATGATGTTCATGACAATATTTGGTCAAAATTGACTGAGCCCTTAAGGACTATTAAAGGAAAACGTCCTTTGGACCAGGTGAGCAAAACATTTGAGGTGTGTAATGGTCAGATTATTAAATAGGCAATCAATACTCAACTTATATATAATAGATCTTTGTTAGAACATTTTGTTACTCTACACCTAATAAGCCTATATTCTAATAGTTTAATGCTCAATTCAAAGTTGGTCTAGCTCATTCAATCGGATCCTGAACTTTCACACGTTTCACCCTTGAACATTCTTTTGATCAGACATTGTAGCCCTTAACCCTAGCATGGTACTTGCAAAATATTATTATCCTACGCTTCTTGAATGTTCAAAATATGCCCTTTAAATGTTTTAACACATTTGACTCGTGTGACCTTGACTGTCAGGGTCATTCATATGAAAAAAAGTTGGAAGCCCTTCATCCTAGCATGCTAAAGGTTTAATCATATTCCTAGGCCTCTTGGTCATTTAGAAGAAGTTGTTCTAATGTTTAAACACATTTTGCTCCGGAGTCAAGGTCGTTTCTGTGAACAAGCTTGATATCAAAACATAAAAATAGTTTGAGATCTACAGTTGCTCATAATGAAGATTTCGATACACATATGCTACCAGGTTTACCTGGCCCTTTCCCTGTGATCGTCTTTGCATGACTACATAATTATAATTTTAATGAGAATACTTTGTCATGATTATTTTAATAGTTATGTACTTTTAGAATGTTGTTAAAAAGTGGAGCCTTACCTATCATACCTGTATCATTATAACTCCACACTATGAGAAAGCCATAAGAATTCTAAGGAGAACTAAAACTTGATGCTTCATCCCAGATCTTGAACATGAAGTGCAGAAGGCCTGTATCTCTCACCTGGTTCTTCAGTCAGAATCCAGAACTTATCTGTTGAGCCTTGAACATCAATAACCGAAGAAGTTATAAAATGCTACAACAATATTCAGCTGAGCAGAGCAATTGTATCCTTAAGGATTAAGTCTTAGAAGCAAACTTTATTAATAATAAATCCTAATAAAAGGAAGATACATTACTTCAACAAATTACCTACAGACATATTATGACACAATTTATTCTAGTTTTTGGGGAGGGAACAAGAAAATCAGTAAAATTGATGGATTATGCTGATTGAAAAGGTCACTGAGACTAAAATAAAGTGTGACCTCACTGGGATCTAGCCTTGGGTGTACAGACTCAAAGTGGTGAAATTACACATCTTCCGCAAGTCAGAAGTTTTATGGCCCAGACAATGTATTTAACCTTTGAACTTCATGTGATCATGACCTTGGGCTACAGACCCATGAATTTGATCGTTGGCCTCAATTGGACTTTGACCTTGGGCCTATGAACCCAATTGTGTTTGCCACACACTGCGTTGCCATCCTACATAGCCCCTTAAGTTTAATTGAGTAATCTTCAGCAAGCTAAAACTATGACGCCCAACAATGAATTTGACCTTGGACCTGAATATAACTTTGACCTTCGGGACATAGACCCAATTAGTGTTTACAATACTCTGTCCTGCCATCCTACATATATGTATATCTCTTAAATTGCATTGAGATATCTTCAGTGAGTAAAAAGTTATGGCCTGAACAATGAATTTGACCTAAGACCTCAATGTGACCTTAACCTTTAATGTAAAAACTCAATTGTGGTTTGCAACAGACCATCTTGCAATCCTACATTTATTCCTTTAATTTCATTGAGTTACCCTAAGTCAAAACTTTTAGCCAAGACAGTGAATTTGACCTTTGAAATCAATGTGACAATGACCTTGGATGTACTCACCTTACAGTAGTATGCGACACATTGCCTTATCATCCTACATTTATTCCTTAAATTTTATTAAGATATCTTCAGAGGTTCAAAAGTTATGGCTCAGATTATCAATTTGACCTATGACCTAAGTGTGACCATGACTTTGGCTGTATATTGACAGTTTGCAGTTTCTATAACACTTTACCAAAATACATTATTTTTTTAATAAGTGCAAATTTGCAGTATTGCTTTGTTTTAAAACATACAAAGTCAGAGAAGATAACTATGTAACTTTCAGGGGAGACATTTTTAAAATTGTGTTTTTTGTAAAATATGTTTTTTTTTCCGGTATTCAGTTAGGATATTGCAACTTGTAATACTTGATAAAAATGAAAATCGCGAGATTTCAACTACCTGTAGTTTCAGACTAAATATTTATTCGTTAAGTTGAATTAGTGTTAAGTTTGAAGATATATCAGAATATTTTGTTTCTAGGGGAATTGCCAATTTTCACCTTAGGAATGGGGAAATTGATGAAATTTGAGAAAAATAAACATTTACCAAAATACACTTCTTTTTTTCAATAAGTGCAAATTTGCAGTATTGACTGTTTCATAGTGATACAAAGTCAGAGAAGATATATCCAAGCAACATTCTGAGGAAAAATTTGACAATTTGCAGTTTTTATAAAATGTGATATTTTTCAGTATTAGTTTGTATATTGCGACTTGTAATACTTGATTAAAATGAAAATTGCGAGATTTCAACTAGTTTCAGACTAAATATTTGTCCGTTAACTGGAATTTGTGCTGAATTTGAAAATATTTAAGTATATTTTGTTGTTCCTGTAGGAATTGGACTCTTTTCCCACATGAGGAAAATTCAACAGATTTCAAACTAAATATTTGGCTGTTATATAGAATTAGTGTTAAATTTGAAGAGACATTGAAATCTCTCGTTCCTGGGATAATTTGAATATTTTCCACCCTAGAAATTGTGGTGGAAATGTTGAAACTTGAGGATATAGTCAATATTTCAAAATAGACTTTTTCTCAAAAATAACACATTTGTAGTATCCCTTTGCTTTATAGTCAAAGAAAGTCACAAAGGATGATTGAAAAAGAAGTCCCTGGGGAGATATTTGAGTTTTTTGTACAATTTCATGTTTTATGAGGTATTATGATATTACCACCTGCCATACTTGATAAAATTTGAAATCCTCACATTTTAACTGATTTCAGCCTAAATATTTGGCCGCTATGTAGTATATGTGTTAAATTGGAATATACATCAGAATATTTTGTTCCTGGGGGAATTTGAATATTTTCCATCCAAGAAAATACAGTAAATGCTGAAATTTCAGAAAAATCAATATTTTCCCAAAATACGCTAAGTGAAGATTAGCAGTATTGCACTTCTTTATTGACATACAAAGTCATAGAAGATTACCAAATCCCTTCTGAGAAGAAATCTGAAATTTTTGTAAAATTATAGGATTTTGTTTTAATATTAGCTGGTATATATATTGCCATCTGCTTTACTTGATAAAATTTGAAATTGTGACATTTCAGACTAAATATTTGGCTGTTATATAGGATTATTTTGAAATTTGAAGATATATCTGAATAATTTGCTTCTAGTTTGAAATTGCCTTTTCCTACAAAAAGGGTGAAATTTGAGAAGAAAGAAAATCAATAGTTTTCCTAAATACCGGTACAATTTTCCCTCGAAAACAGCAGATACATCATAATGAGTTATCAAAAGTTACAAAAGTAATTTTCTGAGGAGTTTTTGGAAATTTGAATTATTTATAAGTCTGAGTTTTTTGCATCTGATGCAAAACCGTGTATTCTTATATAACTTGAAATCTTGACCATTTAGCTGATTTCAGACTGAATGTTGATCTCTGTTAAGTAAAAAGTAGTGTTAAGTAGGTAGATGTATCAAAATATTTATTCCTGGAAGAATTTGACTCTTTTCAAATTTGGAATTTGGAGAAATACTGGAATTTCAGGCAAATCAATATTTTTCGAAAAGATTTACAGTTTTATTTTCATTCAAAATCATAGAAGATAACCAAACTAACTTTTCTTCTTTGTATTATTAGCTGGTATATTGTCACTTGCCATAGGCATACTTGATAAAATCACTACATTTCAATTCGTTTCAGACTAAATATTTGGTCATTATGTAAGGTAAGATTTGAAGATATATCTGATTATGTTGTTCCTGAAGTAATTTGAAAATTTTCCCCTTAGAAAATCGATATTTTTTCCAAAATACTTCTCCTTTCTCTAAAAACACTGAATATTTACATTGTTCGCTTTTAATGATTAAAAATTAATCATTTTAATTTGATTTATTTTTATATACTGTAGTATATTATCACGGTTTTATATATGTCCGGATATGCACAACCGTCTACGCTTAATTACTATCGCCACATGAAAACTTTCCGGAATCCGCCACCCGGCATACCGTTTTTTGCTTATCTAGCCCGAGTGTCAAGAGCCACTCCGATAATAATAAAATATAACGAGTATACTCCCAACAAGATTGTCTATTGACCGTACCCACCAAATTATGATCAATAGGCAGAGATGAAATATACTTGACAACTAAATAACAGCACGGCTAATGGCTGGGCCAATAAAAACATTACTTTGGCAAGAAAGAAGGGCAGATTGGCTGACTGTAGAATACCAAGTAAGGCGAGCCGATGATATCTGTTTTTGTTTGTAGTTGGTTGGTGTCGTCTTCATATATATGTATCAGCACTCGACACAAGAACACAATGCACAAAAGCACCAGGTATAAACAAACACGATAGTCAATGTTTTCTAACAGAACGACTGCAAAACAATTCAATACGATTTTCAGAAACCCTAAATAGATCTCTAGAATAAATAAATACATCTGTATTCTTGGTCTAATGGTTGTTTTGATTATAAATATTACATGATGTATATACCTGGGTGGATGGGTACCATAAAAGGGATCGCCGCCAAATACCCCTGGTACAGAACAAACTCGGCCGGGTGCATGGCCACAGCAGAGAAGGCCGTCGGCTGGTGGTATCGGTGGTGCATCTTGTGGATATGCCGGTACAGAAAAGGATAGTGGAACAGGCGGTGGAGGTAGTATGCTAGACAGTCGTTGTACATGAACATCGCAAATGCCGACAGGGGAAGGTAACTCCAGCCGTAGTCAGAAAGCCCGTAGTACATACTGCTATAACCTAAGAAAACAAACATGTTTTCAGTCACCTGTTTATTTTATCGTAATTTAGCTGATTTATATTAAAATTAAAAGAATCGATGCTCATTTAATGCTGGACGAATTTACTTTTACCCTGCCATAGTATGCAACAAGTTATTTCCAGAGAAAATCAATGTGGTCTGGCAGGTTGTCCCATACCTTTTCCTGTCTGATCGGGGAATTGAACCCGGCCGCCTTGGTGAAAGGCAAGCGCGATATCCACTGCGCCACCCGACCACCCGTATTTGAAACCCGATTGGATCCAGAGAAAACGAAAATCCTCACCTAATTAGGTCTTACATTATTCATAACAAGATATGGCTTACCACCGTTCATTATATAGCACGCAATGACCCCTGATACTAAAGAACCGCCAAGCATGTTAGCCGACCCAAGCAGAATCTCATGTCTCTCATTCGACGGTGTCAAAAACTTGTCTGGTTGGCACTTCCACTCGTGAGCCTGTGGAAAAATAGGAAAAGGAAATCGGTTACATCGATCATCTAGGTCACACAACAACGATCTCGAAAACAAAGACAGCGAGTATTCAGTTCGGTTTTCATTTGTTTATTCAAGGAGAAGTACCTAATAATTTCGAATACATCTCGAATTCCAGTGTTATAACTGTTAGATACCGACCAAATGCACATTATTTAAATCAGGAGTTTCGTTAGTTGTGTTATACCATGCGCACTGCCCATACACAACAATAGCCAATCTATACTAACGACAGAAAGGAAGAGATAAGGGATGGTATTTTAAGGTCACACATCTACAACGCTCACATTGTAGTACCGGAACTATTTGCAGATATGTTATCGCACCTTGTCTTCTCATACTCCAGGCATCTGGTCGTAATTGAAATGGATTATATGGATAGAAAATACCAAAGGGATCAGAAACCGAAAGTTACTATTGGCAGTTACCCTGGCAACATTGAGAGACGAATTAAGCGATACAATGGACGGCACACATATGGGTAGGTTTAAATATTACATTATTTTAATGAATTATTCGACAGAATGTCCTATGGTTTTAATGTGGCTTTGGTGCACACGAAGTCGTTTCAATTAGTACGGTCAACCCGTTTCATCTCTACCAACTTAGAGATTGGCCACATAGACATTATAATCAGACACATAATTACATTATATATATCGGAGACTCGAAAATTGTCAGACATGTAAAATAAACAAATACGATTGAAGTTATTTACAATACAATATCGTCCTGCTCATACTGATAATCCGGGGTTTACTAGTTATTAACATCGTGACGCAAGTCTTTTCAATGTCTGGAGTACTGAATACCGGGCAAATATTCGCCCTCCTACGGTAAAATCCATCTTTGCCCAATATAACAAGAGGCCCAATGGGCCTAAATCGCTCACCTGGTATAAATCTCACACTTGTAATCTTAAAAGTGGGCTAAAATACAGCTACAGGCAGAATATCAGTGTTTGATTCATAAGAACCTATCAAAAGATTTAAACATATGACGCCCGATACCTTGAATGTCGAACAAGGACATCAGGTTGAAAGTGGATCAATGTCATTCATTTTAACAAACTTGGTAGCCCTTCATCCCAGCATGCTACAGGCCCAATATCAGTTCCCTGGGCCTTTTGGTTATTGAGAAGAAGTATTTTTGAAGATTTTACGACATTTGACCCCTTTGACCTTGAAAGTGTGTCAAGGTCATTCATTTGAACAATCTTTGTAGCCCTTTATCCCAGCATGCTACAGGCCTAATATCAGTACCCTTGGCCTTTTGGTTATTGAGAAGAAGTTGTTTAAAGTAAAAAGTTGACGCCGGACAGACGGACGACGGACGACGGACGGACGACGGACGCCGCACCATAGCATAAGCTCACTTACCCTTCGGGTAGGTGAGATAAAATTGCTCCTCATTACGGATGGTAAAAAGAGCGAAATTGCAGCGAAAGTTTACCGGTATACAGGACATGTACCATACAGATCCGTACCTTATATCTATATTGTTCTATATAGATATAAACATAACCACGTATATATACCTACTGTACTTAATAGATACGGACCACAGTATTTAGGCAACTAATTATCCACTAAGCACTCACAGTGTTCTCGGACCACAGTATATATGCAACTAATTATCCACTAAGCACTCACAGTGTTCTCGGACCACAGCATATAGGCAACTAATTATCCACTAAGCAATCACAGTGATCTCGGACCACAGTATTTAGGCAACTAATTATCAACTAAGCACTCACGGTGTTCTCGGACCACAGTATATAGGCAACTAATTATCCTATAAGCACTCACAGTGTTCTCGGACCACAGTATATAGGCAACTAATTATCCACTAAGCGCTCGCAGTGTTCTCGGACCACAGTATACAGGCAATTAATTATCCACTAAGCACTCGCAGTGTTCTCGGACCACAGTATATATGTAACTAATTATCCACTAAGCAATCACAGTGATCTCGGACCACAGTATGTATGCAACTAATTATTCACTAAGCACTCGCAGTGTTCTCGGACCACAGTATATATGTAACTAATTATCCACTAAGCGCTCGCAGTGTTCTCGGACCACAGTATGTATGCAACTAATTATCCACTAAGCACTCGCAGTGTTCTGCATTGGAACCATCAGGTATGTTTACCTCAACATCTAAGAGTACAATTGTAGTTAATCACCTGTCCAACACTTTGATTGAAATGATAAAAGTGTGGGTTTGTTTTTCCTGTCACAGTGTTAGCTCAAATACCTAACGTTATGACAAGCCTAGATAGTTCTCCGAATGTCCCCTGACCATACCCTCCTGTTTGTTTATTATCTTTCTAGCAACTTCGAAGAGAACAACTCGAGATTCGACCCAAGTACTGGGTTCGAGAAAGTACCGTAACGAACATCTGAATGGCTGGCAGACCAATCAAATGTAGAGAGTGAATTGAATACAGGGGGTTTTGACATATGATGGTTCACGTTGATGTCGTCTGTTAACAGATATCTGCAGACGTTTAATGCTGATTTAAAACATCGACTATACACACTTGAAAGACACATTACCTATTACATGTACCGTTGGACATAGACTTGCTTAACTAACCCTTTGGCATTACTTCTCAGAGACCATCCTGAAAATCTGACCCTACAAAAGTCTAAACACTAACCTGAGTGACCTCCATATCATCAGTCCACAAAATAATCTACGTGGCGCTTGACCCCATCGTCCAGATACTAGCCTGAATAGCCTCTGAACCTAACACTTGTTTACAGACTATTCTGAGTGACCACAATCCCTACAGCACACTATTTACTCTGAGTAACCGTTGACCATATTACCCAAATACTAGTCAGAGTAGCGTCTGACCCTAACACAAGTCTAGAGAAGAGACTAGCCTGGGTACCCTTGTCCAGATACTGGTCTTAATGACCTCGATCCTACTGTCCAGATATTAGCAAGAGTGACTTTGACCGTACAGTCCAGAGACTGACATTAATGACAGCTGCCCCTTCTGCTCAAAGACATGCGCAAATGATACTTCATCCTATAAATATTGAGACTACCCTGACTACCCTGTCCCTAACTGCTCAGACACTAGTCTGTGTGACCTCTGACCCAAATTTCCTCAGACTGGCTTGAGTGACCTCCAACCTTACTGCCGAAAACTAGTTTAAGCGTCCGCTGACTCTATTACCAGTCATCAATCTAGTGTCTTATGACGTGATCATAAAACGGAAACTATATCAACATATATATAACTTAATAAGTTTATAGATGCGGTCTGTAACGAGGACAATATGAGGCAAAAAAAAAGAAGCGATCACGACTGTACTGCATGTCAAACGATACACTATGACCTGTGTACTTATTATCAAGAGTGAGTTAGATAAAGAGTTGTCAATATAGATACTTTTCTGTGTAGTAGTATCCTGGTACACTCTAGTACAACGGTACCGAGATACAACGATTTACTAGTAAACATAAACCGACAAGTTTATCAATAATCTGTATATTAAGGTCATATGCAACAATAACTGATCTTCATACAATAGTTCGAAGCAAAGATAAATCTGTTTAAATTATTGAATTACTAATCTAATATCCTTCTTTCAGAAGAGTAAGTCACATTTATGGTCAATTGCACAAGAATTCGTGTTGAGGAAGATACTAATCCACATATTTGGCGTTACGTTGTCCAAACACTTGTACCGAAAAGTATTCAGACCAAACGATCGCATGTGCATTATCCCGTCGACTGTACTAAAACAAAAATATAGTATGCTGCTTATTTGTCCCTATATTAAAGTAACACAACGATAAATAGTATTGTTCTAAAGACGGATCGATTCTGTATCTAGGGAAAGTCGCTCATTCACTGAGCAATAGTTTAAGGATTATTTCACTTCTTAGTATATAGTCAGAGCATTACATTGAGACCACATGCCAATCGCCCCGCCCACTATATATATCACCCAGCAAATCAGGTAAGACGTCGGTGGGGCAAGTATTCGACTGAGACCCCTCAGGTACACGATAGTAAAAAGTTGCTATGCATGGATTTTGATAGCTTTATGGAGTGTTTTGGTTAAAACGTTGTTTTTAAAAGTGTCCGTAGTGTAAGTAATGATATCAGAAAAGATTTAGAGTGTGGGACTTTGGGACGTAGAATCTACCACAATAATGGCTATGTTCGACTAGATTTATTCCCTGTGGTGAATACAACTTTTTTTTTATAAACAACACGGAATCGGAAGGAATTGACTACACAAGCAAATATTAAACAGGTTGTTTTTCATCGGTTTCATAAAATAATAACAGGTTGGTCACTCGCGAAATATTTCATATATTATCATTCAATGAACTTATTATCATTCAAGCTTATCTATTTTTTCTGAGCATATACATTAGCATTTCAGGGACAATATTAGCCCGAGTTTCCTCTGGCCCCGACCCCTGCAGACTTTGACATTTTACCAATGACTCAGTCTTGTGTCAGGGCCAGACACTCGGCCTAGGACAATATACAATTACTATTTTCTCTTGTGCATTTCCTGTAGCTGTGTAATATTGCATGACTGTATTTATCTCTTAGGCTGTGCTTGAACTACTGAATGACACTATTGCAAAGAAAAAAACAATAAATGAAGGTACCTTGTCCCGACGGTTTATGTAGAAATACCACATAAATCCATACGCAACTCCGTAGTACATCACAAACGATGACGTCACAGCTAGCAGGAGGAAAATCGGTAGGTTTTGTAATTTCCAGCTCTCCAGTAATCCCACGTCCCCAGACGACACGGAATCGTTCACCTGCTCGTACAGGGCGGAAGTGTTCAACATCGTCTGCCATTGCGATTTGCTTATGTAAACCATAAACAACAGCCAGTCACCTACAAGAACAACGGAACAACGGCAACCGTTACTAAACCTGTCCTACTGACATCTTTCATATGGAAAAAAATCTGAAAGTCTAATGATGATTACAGGCATAAATTGAAAATCTGTAATTGCATCGTTTTTCTTTAAGAGCAGGTCATGGTTGTATTGTCGGTAGCGTTCCAAGGCCAGAATCGTTTCCATGTTCTTATCAGAGTCCTCAAAATTCTGATAACAAATTCTATATGGTGTTGTATGTGTGTCTTTAAGTAATATAGAAACGTCATTGCGAAGCTGAAAATTGAGTGTGAACGGTATGGATGAATTGTGTATTCTGTTATTCAACTACTAGAGTAAACCAAAAGACAACATCCAACATGTAAGTACAAATTACGATAAATCGAAATGTGTGCAATCAATATTTTGAGTTTTAAGTAATTCAAAATTTTGAAATGCTCTAGTACAGGATTGACAATAACCACAATCGATGAAATTCACAGCATTAAACAAAAACAGATTAAATATGAATATTCAAAATGCATTTAGAGTGTTATTCTGAGCATATGAAACAAATATCGGACTTTGATGCTATAATGTGTAATCAAAAAGACAGACTATGCCGGTACTTTATTGCAAGCGAGAAGGCATATTCGAATCGAGTGTAGTGACAATCTAAAGCACTCTTCATTTATATTTCTACAAAAGTTGATGTACTCCTTTTGTTTCACAAAACTGAATATTATTGATTATACAAATTTTGAAATAACATAAAATATTGAATCCTATCAGATTTTTATGTAAGATTTCAGAAATCTGAAAATTATAATTCCATAATATTGCAGGCCAGAAAGTGTTCGAAAATGTACCTTTATATTGAGCAGTTACATGTATGCGGGCCTATCCTTAGAAACTGTGGTTAAACCTTTAAAATTAAGTAAGTAACAGCTCCTACTTGTTTATGTTTCGTTCACCTAAACGCGCTATGAACTTGCAAATAAGAGGGCACACAAATATAACTGACTTCATTAATAATTTGGTTGAAGTCATATAGATACCGTATTCATTATCATATCACACAATGCTGTGTCGCGAACAGTGTATATATACAAATGTAGGACAACACAGTGTATCTGTACATATATACATGTATAATAAACTAGCAGTGAAAACACTGCTATCAAACGCGGTCAGGTCAGAGTGTAATAACTGGTAATAAATGTCGCCTCTATCATACTAAGTACTATTGTACTAAGTTCAACGGTTTAGTTGTGTTTGATAACAGCCGCCTCCGTTACTGTAAGTCGTCGTGTTGACAATCGCTTATAGGTTAATCATTTACAGACCTCACGAGTTCAAAAAGATCTCGCCTACATCAAAATGACGTCAGCGTACTAAATAAACTTGATTCCTGCACGGCAAACGGAAAACATTTAAACCGTAGATGTCCAAAAGAAATTAAGATACTTTTTAAAATCAATTTTCGACAAATATTCATTTCCCGGTCAACAGTACATTGTACTATTCATTTTATAGTAATGAGTATTGATGAAAGGTTGATGTTATAACATATAAAGAATCTTCATGACATATTGCTGTGTCACTTTTGTTACTGTGTGGGGAGTTTCAATGTGATTCCAATATTAACATTTTAAGAAGAAATTGTTAGGGATAATCCTAAGTCGGTGATCACATATCCATCAACAAACGCTGTGTCAGTTTAAGTATCATGTGTTACGTGTGACTCTATCAGCACACGCTACTCCACCTAATTACATTGTTCTGCTTACCAGAGGTGCTAAACTAAGGGGTGCTAAAAGTTACAAAACATGACGCAATACTTCGGAAAATGATCGACATGCGATCGTGTTAAGTTTGGTGACTGATTTCGGCCATCTAGCGTCTGGCGACAACGCGAAAAGATTAACGCGACAAAAGTACCCCGCCAACGCGACAGAATTGCGCATTGGCGCCTATGTCGAACTGTCGCATCGAAATCAACCACTATAGTTGGGAACTGACTTGAGTTTTCAGGATTCATAGAAGACAAGTGTCATTAGCAAACTGGTCAGAGTAGCCCAGAAGAACAAAGGCAGCCTGGCCGTGCTAGACCCCATAGAATCCTACAGAAGCTGATTGAGATAGCCCTTGACTATTGTCACATTCCTAATCATCGCATATGTTAGGTAAGAAAGAAACATTTCAAAAAGATGAAGTTGAGATGCATAGTTGCAGAGAGAACCACAACACGGGAGACATGTTAAAGGGAATAGCGATTGAATCCGAAGAATCGGGCGCAAACTTGGGAGACGAAGGCAAACTTTTATAAGAAGCTTGTGCTTTTATTCGGAAAACGTGTCATCTTCATAGAGCTTTCCGTGCCAAGTGGAGGCTGTTAAGAAGTCAACGACAGGAAGTGAGCTAAGTGTGATGAGTGGATGGATGGTTCTAGAAGTTTCTACCCGTAGACAGTTTGTAGGACATTGCATTCAACATGACTCATGATTTCTGGTGGAGCCAGAGCTACAGCTATTGGGAGAAGCTGTAGAGAGAACACCATGCCGGCTGTGGCATCGACGAGATGAGCCATGGTGAAAACTAACTTAAACGAGTAAGGGGCTTTTTTTTGCCTCCAAAATCATATGCCGATTGCAATCGCCAGTTGCGAAACGTTTTATATCTATATAATATTTTGACAAAAGCTTGAAGGCTCGAACGAAAACCTCCAGTCCCGGTGGCTGGCTAATTCAGGTAGGCTTTTTGGGACAATATGAAGTTTACTGTCGACGTTACCCACAGACGCGAGGATGCCCAAATAGGTACTGACGTAATGCCGCGTGTTTAATATCTGAACCCCGTGTGTATTAGCCTTTCACATGGATCAGTGAGTTAAGCGTTTAGAACCATTTCCTGACGTTTATTGATTATAAGACGATTTATGGGTTAAGATCAATATTATGCACAATACGTAGGCTGGTATTTCTGTTAGGTGTTAATTAACCTATTTCAGCTTATCAGATCTAGAGTTACAACTTGATTTGAAATGTACCTCGTAGTGTGTCTGTGTGTGTTATACTGTGTACCGGGACATGTTCGCCCTTCGAACGTAAAATTAATTTTCGGCCAATATTAAATTCGCCCTTCACATTAATTACTGTATAAATGATGTTGTCATTACGGTGGGCGAAAAAGGTGAAAATTAAACTGCAACGAAAATGTTTCGGTATACAATATATTGACAATGTACATATGTATATATATACTATGTATGTTAAGTATATGTTGTGGTCATACTTATAAGGACAGAGTTATATAAACTAGGACAATAAAATCAAGATAATTAGCCATTTATAATAAAACAAAGCAACTGAAACTAGAACACTTCCTAGGAAGGAAATTATACAGTGTATTAATAATATTCTTTGAGCATCACTGTAGCCAAAAGTATGTTAAAATTGATGTGGACATCCGATGTAGCCATATTTAATCCACAGTAACCAAGTATGTTACACACTGGTCAGGTTGAAATTTCTACCAGACAATACACTGCAAATTCAACGTCACGACATACCACATTTAGTAGTCTTACAGGCAGACAGGAACAGCTTCCGACAGGAAACCCTGTCCAGGAGCACGTGTTCTATGTGTGTGTGTGTGCATCACACACAAAAATCAATACATGAATCATTACAAAATTCGAAAGCTTTGTCAGCTTACAACAACGGAATAAAAAAAATCAAATCATTATTACTGTGTTAGTGTTTCAAAAAAAAAAGGTACGAAATTTCAGGTGAATCGAATATTGAAAAGATGTACAAGATAAACGAATTGGCCTAACGTTCCGTCAACCTCTATATAAAACCAGTATCCTAACTTGTGGTACACTCGCCCAAACATTTAAAGCTTGTATTGGGCACGACAAAATAGAAGGATTATTGATTGATCGGTATCGATCTGTCAACATGTCAGATTAAAGATATGTGACATGTAGTATACTGCCAAACTACACCTATGTTCTTTGTTGGAAAGTCGCGTCCGTGCCTGAAGACTGCGTCAAGGCAAGGTAGTATCGATTTTTCCCGCGAGATTAGACAAAATCTTTATTGTATGAACCGTTTTTGAAATAAAAGATCATGAGAATAAAATCGATTGTGTGAAACCTGTTTTGGTACATTAATGTACGTTAGCGTGTATACATAATTAGAATTCCAATGCTTTTAATTACTATACCTCTTGTAGCTGTTGCAGCAATAAAGACTACGATCATGAAAACCACTTTCGCCGCTCCATCTTTCGTTTGTTCCGTTATTTCTGCCATTCTGTATTTTGATGCGACACTGTAAGATGTAATGTACCGCTTGTGTCGGTCTTCCAACGATTATCTAAGCCATGAGCGACTTCGTCCTAATTCACTGATAAATAACTTCCAAAGCAGGCCCAACAGTCAAACTGATAACAATTTCATTGTCGACTACGGTGGCTGATCGTTACATAAGCATCGTGTATAAAAGGTCTGGAGATACTCCGAGTGCGTCTCGGAGCCAATCGTGTAATAATAACAGCGCCCAGCTCTGTATATATTGCATGCAGTCAGGAGAATCACTCTAGGGGCGACGTACGCTGAAAGTTTAACACGCCGATATTATTTTTCTTTAGGTTACAGTTAAGAGACATTGCATGGGAACCATTAGAAACGGTATAGATGTTCTGTTTCACAGATGTCGTTAGACTCCCATTCGTCTCTTAAGAACCACGACAACACGTTTTGGGTTGTATCCTAGATTGATTAAGTCTCAATCCAAGGCTTAGTACATGTACTGTATGTACTGTAAACTATTTTCTGGAAGAGAAAAATGAAGAATTACTACAATAAAAGTTTTGTGCAAAAAGGGTCATTTTTGAATTGTATTATCTGCAGGGTTTTTCACCGGGATCTTTTTCTAGCCTCTGTATTACCAGTCAGACTAGCCCAGGAGGCGTGTTTAGCTTACCGAGTAGATATGGATGGTATTTTTATTGACAATAAGACAGGATATACTAATAGCAATGTGATTCAGATCGTCAGTAGTTCAACACATGTTCAGGACAGCTGTGCACAAAACTGTCTATTTTCACAAATGAAACACTTTTGTAGTATATATGTACGATACGATGTACATGCTGATTATATTTCCTTCGGTTCATTGGTTATAATGTAGTCGATATATGTCATACAGCTCCTGAATTAGGTGATTTATTTTATTTCGTTTATTAAATACAGTGTCCATTCCGTAAACAAGTTGTAATTGAAAAGCTATACTTCCTTTAATTACAAATCATTATTTAAATTAGTGAAATGATGTGTAAGCTAGGGACTTGCATCCAAACTTAACTAAACATACCACAGTCTAGCCATACACCCAGCACTTCCTTAGTGTTGTACCACAGTCTAGTCATACACCTAGCACTTCCTTAGTGTTGTACCACAGTCTAGCCATACACCCAGCGGTACCACAGTCTAGTCATACACCTAGCATTTCCTAATTGGTGTTGTACCACAGTGTAGTCATACACCTAGCATTTCCCAATTAGTGTTGTACCACAGTCTAGTCATACACCTAGCATTTCCTGATTAGTGTTGTAGCACAGTGTAGTCATACACCTAGCACTTCCTTAGTGTTGTACCACAGTCTAGTCATACACCTAGCATTTCCCAATTAGTGTTGTACCACAGTGTAGTCATACACCTAGCACTTCCTTAGTGTTGTTGGCAATGTTTCAACGACACGTCTTGTTAGCCTAGAATTTACTTCATTGTAACACGTAAAACTAAAGGAAACTGGCACCATGTGCTTGTACAATAAGTGTCTTACCCTTGTGCTTTTCATGCGCAACGCAACAACATATATCGTTTCCGTTCAATTCAATATACTATATGAGCAACTGTTATGTTTTAGTGTTTTAGTAGGATAAAGGTAAGCACTCGCCGACGACTTGGGTTTCTAGTTCGATCCCCAATAGACGATCTCGTGGTAACATTTCCCCTGGGTCATCCTCGATATCCACGGGTTACGCTCACTTTTGCTCTCTAGCGAACGTTAGTGTAACCCCTGGATACCGAGAATGCCCCTGTCTAATAAGCTTAGACCATTGTGGTGATAATTATTCACTAGTATCCTTAATACGAGTTTAAGTAAGTGAGCGGACGAGAACATCATACTATCGGATGCCCAATTTGGTTTTCGTTCAGGAATGGGAACAGTCGACGCAATATTTGCCTTACATTCTATTATTAACAAGTTTACCAGTAATAAAAAAATGTATTGTTGCTTTGTTGACTATCAAAAATCGTTCGATAGTATTGACAGATGTAAATTATGGTATAAAAAGCTAAGCTTGGCGTCCGTGGAAAGATGTTGTCGGTAATAAAATGATTGTATAGTCATATTAAATCTAGCACCCTTTGTTGGCGGAAAAATATCTGATTTTTTTAAAACAAGACCGGGGTCTTACAAGGGGAGATAATCTCCCCGATTCTGTTAACGATTGTGAAACTGAATTTTAAGGGCCGGTGTACAGCCGCTTGACTTACAAGACTTGCCCCTAATTTAATTAATGCACGCAGATGACATGGTGTTGTTTTCCGAAAGTATATATGGTTTACAGTCAATGCTTGACAAACTTAAAAATTATACTGAAAAGTGGTCTCTGACGGTTAATGTCCCTAAAACTAAAGTTATGGTTGTCCGTAAGTCAGGTAGAACATCACAGGATGAAAAGTGGTACTTAAATGGTACATTGCTTGAAACTGTAGATAGTGTTTGCTATCTTGGCTTGGTGTTAAACTATAACGGTAACTTTAATTTATCGCAAAAACAGTTAGCATCACAATGTAGGAAAGCATCATTCGCATTAAAAAAGGCTTGTGTACCAATGCTTTTAAATTTTTCCACATTATTGAGTCTCTTTAACACATATGTAGGAAGCGTGGCGGGATATAGTAGTGATGTATGGGCATTCCATACAGCCCCTGACATTGAGAGGGTACAATTAGATTTTTATAAAAATAATCTTGGAGTTAAACGGTCGACACAAAATGCTATGGTATACTTTGAACTGGGGAGTTCCCATTGTCCCTCTTACGCAAATTAAGAATATTTAAATACTGGTGTAAGTTAACCTGTACCAACAATTGTATTTTAAAAGGATGTCACGTGGATGTGTACAACGAATGTGAGGCTAATCCAAATTGTAAAAACTGGGTTGCAAAAGTCAAACACGAGCTCTGCTCATGAGGCATGATGGACATTTGGGTTTCCCAACATATTATAAATGTAAACAGTTTTATATATATTGTAAAATAACGTTTGTTAGACAATTTCAAACAAGAGTGTAAGTTTTTGTTTGTTTCGTCGCCAAAATGTGTTTTATACGGGCATGTTGTAAAATCACTTAACATTGCAAACTTATCCTTCAAAACTAATTCCTGCAAATAATAATAAAAAAACTATTGTTAGAAGGCAGACACAGAAATGTTCCACGTCAGCTTCGAAATTGCCCTGTGTGTCTTAATGACTTCGAGGACGAATACCATTTCATTTTAAAATGCCCCTTGTAAAATGACATGAGAACCAAATATATTAAGCCCTATTATCGAATAAATCCCTCCGTTTTTAAATTAGTTATATTTCTATCATCTGTAAATACGAAAGAATTATGTAATTTATGAAAATTTGTCCATCAAGCAAACATATTACGAGCAATTTATTTAGTAGATAATTTAATGTTGTATTAATGGAATGGCCCTGAAATATTTGTTGTAATTAAGTTTAATGCAAAGGTTGTATCTATATACTGTATCAGTTTACGATCAATAAAGAATTACGATAGGGGACGATCTCCTGAATGTCTGTTGGACGGGGACGTTCAAAGCGGAGGCCTCGTGTGAAAAAGCTATTGTTTACATTTCCGATTTTCTCAGGCTCGATAAGCTTCCCTTCGTCACCCGACGAAATATGTTATAATTTTGTGACTCGAAATAGATCATGGGATAGTTAATTATTAAATTCATTAGATATTTAGATACATGTAAATTTGGTGAAGGAGGACGAAAGTTGGTAACACAAATCGATACCTTTCAGAATTCAGTAACGAACTGAAGGGGCATAGCTTTTAACAGTTTTAAATTTCATCTGTTTTGAATAAGTTTAAAAGACAAATTAATTAATATTGAGTAGTTCGGAAGTACGCGGTGTGTTTGGCTACCTAAACTGTAGCGACACGTTACTGGTAGCTTGTTATGCAATGAAAGGAACAGTATCTTGCTGTCTTCGCAGTGAAGTGAGACGTATAAAATGCTTGCATACGTCTGCTTTGAAATTCGCCCCTTTTTACACGAGGCTCTTCACTCCCCGTGAAAAAGTCCAAGAAAGCATCAATCTAAAATATCAGTACTGGTAGCACTAGCAAAATCACCTTTTAATAGATATGAGCAAATAAAAGAAGACAAACTATTGTTTATGATTCTTGTTGTATTCATAGCCAACTACCGATAATATATAATAAACGGAGTGATACTCTATCCCACACATTGACGCGTAACTGTTTACGACAATTACGTCTCAAGGAATGAAGTATATCGACGACATTGTTTAAGGAACATTGACCTATATTTAGACTGGGTCAAATTTAATAACCGAGAGGTATGCTGTTGTAGGATTTGCTATTGTTTCCTTAAGGTGATTTAGAGACTTAAATATAAAAACCCTTTCTAGAGCAAAGATAGCTGTATAATCGACATATGTTGCACGCTGCTATATGTACAGTAAGATATTTAGCACAATGGGATTTATTTCACAAGTACGACAGCCTACACATGCAGAATGTCAGAAGGGTGTTGAACAAAAACAAAACAAGTGTTTTGAAACGGGGTGTCAAAGGGACATTGAAAAAACAAATGAGTCATATAAAGAAAACGATTAAGTATGTACCATACGATTGAATTACTGGTCACGTGGATACTTGTAACTGGTGCTTGCTTCCCTTCGACTGTTCATTGGTCACGTGGTTACTGGTGTTTGCTTCCCTTCGACTGTTCATTGGTCACGTGGTTACTGTTGTTTGCTACCCTTCGACTGTTCATTGGTCACGTGGTTACTGTTGTTTGCTACCCTTCGACTGTTCATTGGTCACGTGGTTACTGGTGTTTGCTACCCTTCGACTGTTCATTGGTCACGTGGTTACTGTTGTTTGCTTCCCTTCGACTGTTGACTGGTAATGTGAGATACAATTTAACACACTCAATGTAATTTTCAAATATCCAGGTTGCACAGATGATTGGTTCGAACAGAACGGTGGTCAGAAGAGAAAATCACATATGAAGTAAATAAAATCAAGAACATCTGATACATTTTCACAGCTGCACCTTTGTTGAGACAGTATGCGCTTGATGTGTTTTGAGGATTTAATTTGTTTTGAAATACATTTTTGATTGGCAAAAAAATGAATTTTTCACAAACTACTCGTTAAAGTTAATCAACATTTGAACAACTGGTGCTTGTTGAATCTGACAAGGATTGCAGGGTGTTCATCTGCCGTCGTAGTCGCTAGAACTAAATGATGGAAAGATTTGAAGATACGACGAAGCGTTGTTGCAGTTGTCATTGAAAACCTCTATTGTTGGCTTTTAAACAATATAAAGGAGCCGGTAAGAATTTTAAATACTTACTGCTATTAAAATTTGATTTCTTACTTTACTGTTTGTTTTCACTGGTCATATTGACCAAGTAACACAACAGTTGTTTCTTGTCTTATCGACCTATGGCGTCGGAAAACAGTTCATCGTTTATAAATGATGGATAAGGCATGCGACAACAGTATACTGCAAAACATAAACAGTTCAAGATCATTTACGTAAATCGCAATTCAGTTAGGCAGTGTTACCATTATACATGTAATTATGATGCAATTTGACCTCAGACGTAGAAAAGAATAGAAACATTTATAATTTCATTTATGTGTCTTCATTCAGTATGAATAAGTGAGGAGCAAGGATCTTTTACTTGACCCATATCTTGGACGTGGGGCATGTATACTTAACTCGACTTATATCCGTCCCCTAATCTTGGTGTAGATAAGAGCAGTCAGGTCAGACGGTGAGGTACATTTGGGGTACTATCGGGTGGGTGTCGTGTCGATATTTCAGACAGCTTGTTTATCTTATAATTTCACACCATCTAATGTTTGAGCAGGAAGGGAACACGGAAACGGTAGACTTGCAGGGTATCTTAGCCTCAATAAATACTTAGAAAGTTACATTATATCATTAACTTATTTGGAATATTATCCGTTTCACTCATACTTCATTTAATAGATGTCAATAAATCCGTTGGGGTGTAATTACTCCGCATTTTACATGTGTACACAATAATATTTTAAAGCAAATTAAAATACACATAAAACAATGTTGGGTAAAGCATTCCACCAATTGTTTTCAGAAAAGTTACCCTAACTGGTACTCGCACATTCCTTAAGCGGTCCGATGATACTGCGATGCCCAGAACTGTGATAACATCATGATAAAGCTTTAGTTGTACGATTAAAAGCTCGGAACGCCACAAAGAAGAGCGGTAAGATGTTGTCCATTATTAATTTTTATGCTGGGTATTTTGTGCTTTGGCATGTACATATTTCATTCATGTTTTAACATTCGGAACAACCTATCAATCCACTACTTCATACTGCAGTTGTTTTATTTTCAATAAGTATGAATCCGATTGATATCGGATTCAGAAGTTATATTAACGGATGCAACATTTCCGGATGGTTTCCTATTCGTTCCGGTGATTAATGCTTAAATTGTTCACGTTAGAGATCTATAACAACTGTTAGTTTTACTCTGGCCGCGATCGTAGCTGTAACCGGTATTGGTATCCCAACTTGTATTGTAATCCAATGCAAACACCAACCTGTGTACCTCCAGCCGTTGTACATACGTGGCCATACCAATTACTCTCAGACCGTTACCGTTACCCCAGCAGTTCCTGTAACATTCGGTGGAAGTGTTACATACCTGTTAAATATAGGTATAGCTATACCTAGCAGTTGTGTTATTCCGACCGCTTGTGTTACCGTAATTGTTAACCCAATATTTTTATGTACTCCAAACGGAAAATGTTAGTAGGGAAAGATGATTACTTGTTTCCCCTCGTAAAGCATGATTAATCTCGGGGAAACAACTGTTCATGTTTACCTTATACGAGTGCAATTAACCAAAAAGATATATTTTACACCAACCGCAAGTTTTATACCAGCCATTAGTGTTACCCTTATTTTTCTTCTCATATATTCATGACGTAGAGTGATAAGATAAGTGCGATGTCCGTATCATCGAGTTACCCTAAACATTGTTTCATTAATTGCTTTGTTGCAGAGATTAATCATGTTTTACGATGGTGAAGCAGATTAATCTCGAGGCAACAAAAAAATGATGCTTTCCTTATAAGTGCAATTATATATTATATATATATATAATACCGAAATAAAACAAAAACAAGGATGATCAAGAATACATGTATGCTATCGTTGTCGTCTGCTTCAGTTACCCTCGGAACTCATGTGTGATACGTCTCTATCAATGTAGAGGGTTCTCGAATGAGAAATTATAACCGGGAAACTCGTGCGCGTGAGGTGAAAACAAGTTCTATTTCTCAAGCATGATATCAATATACACGTGTAATCCACCAAGACAAGCTGTAATGTAGATGTATCTGGACAATTTCAATTTTATATCTGAAGAAAAACTAGACTAAGCAAATCCGATTAAAATGGAAGCACGTAGATTAGCGTATACATTAAGCGTGATACCGTTACCATTAAACGTGATACTGTTACCATTAAACGTGATGCCGTTACCATTAAACGTGATACCGTTACCATTAAACGTTACCATTAACCGTGATAATTATTGTATCATATTTGCATGTTGGATAGGTACATTTACAGCTGTATCTGGACCACGTAACAAGCAGGCAGTGTTAAACTCAACTCAAACAAACATTAATTGTGAATATCCAAATGGAGAAAATTGGGATAAAGTTCCTAAGGATCTATTACAAAACATTTTATTAGCATTGTTTCAACTTACATGTATACGTACCCAGAATGCCACTGATGGGTGTTACCTGCAGTGATTTTACTCGATGTAGGCATTTGAGCAACCTCCACAATAGAACAGCTGGGTTATCAAACAACCGCCCCCGTAAAAAAACAGAAACACGAAAAACATATAACAAACAAATGACCCTACTGGATCTGTTATTGTTATGTGTCGGTGCCATTTACACAACAAAGGGTTTAAATACCTCAGAAAAAAATACCTAAGGCATTTAAAAGGATTTTACGGACAGAGAGAAAATTCTTCAGCTATTTATTTCGGCTGTCCGGGTTTTGTTAATAGATGTGTTCAACCACGTTTTAAATCACATGTCAAGATACAATGATACAAACCGTACCAACTTCTTGGTCGAAATCAATACGTAAGACATTTTTACACTTTTCACATGGCTATAAATGGAATAGCACGTATGTCAGTCTAACACATGTACTTCTTTCATTATACTATATTTTTCGTATTTAGTTCCTTTTATTCCATTGCTTTACTTTATGTATATGTATATGCTGAGTGGAGAGGGTGTCGATAATGTTGTTACAACTTGTGCCCAATCCATTTGTACTTTTGTATGGCAATGCTTAAACTTAAACAGTTCACAAGCTGGCCATTTTCTGTCATATGTAGCAGCATGCGTTCTATTAGTTTTTCGATTATTTACATTTTAACAGTGAAATATCCGTAATTATCAATTAGATCCGAATTAAGATTTTCACTGCAGTGGAGATATAGAAAATATCATTTCTTCGTGATGATTTAAAGTCCTGTATCGATTTCATATTGACCAATATCAGAGCGGTATTTTCAATTCACTCGTATTTGGCAGCATATGTTTGTTATAGATTTACTACGTTGATGACATACTATTTTTTCTATCACCATAAAAAAAGTGATTTGGTACAAGCGGAAATTTTACGTCTTGAATGGCGTTTCTAAATGATGAGAACGTGGCACTACGTCGTATTCTAGTAGGTAACAGGTTCCACAGTCTAACAGTAGGAAGAAGGATACGTTAGATAATTTAAGTCTGTTGTTAGGTAGGTTGTAGTTTTCAACGTTTCGAAGATTATAGTGAGAGTTATAGACAAGGGCAGGGAGTAGAGTGTTGAGATAGTTAGGAGCTATATTATTGTGGATTTTTATAAAATAATTGAAGTTTTCAACGGGATCTCCGATGGGCTATAGAATCCCATCCAGTTTCATTATATATAGATTGTCTACTAGTAAACTACGGTAAACCAGTGACAATTTGTCTGTATCAGTAATAGGACAATCATCCCAAAGTTCACAACAATATTCTAGAATAGGAAGTATAAATGTTCTATATATCTTATTCAGTGTACGTCGGTTCAGGGTATATTTCAATTTACGGAGGGCACTTAATTGTTTAACTGATTATTTTTACATATATTATCAATGTGACAAGTCCATTTACAGTTAGCATTGATGAATACTCCCAGATCCTTTTTAACAAATTCAATACTTACATTATTAAAGTTAATTTCAATGAGGTGATCAAGTTCTATATAAGAAAAGTAAAGCCTCTGTTTTTGCAGGATTAAATTTAACAAGCCACTTATCTGCCCACAATTGTATATTTACGAGATCATTTTTTTTGTTTAATTACTTGTTGTGATTTATCCGAATATAAAAGAGAGGTGTCATCAGAAAACGTTTTGATAGACTTTCTATATTATTTGTTATGTCATTAATATATGGTATAAACAGCAACGGGCGAAGAACCGAATCCTGAGGTCCTCCTGTATTTGTTATCTTAACAGAAGATTTACTATTTCCAATAAAAACTTAAGATCTATTAGTAACATATTCAATTATTCCATAGCTAGCTAGTTTTACTTCCAGCCACCTATGCCACACTCGATCAAACGCCTTACAAATATCACAAAAAAATATATATTTCTATACGCTGGTGTACAGTAGAATGACCTGGTTGAAAACCTGACTGATATTTATATATGAGAGAATTATCTAAAAGGTAGTTATGTAAATATTTAGCGTCTAGTATTTCGAAAACTTTACCTATAGTACTTAGTATTGCAATAGTTCTTTAATTTTGAAGGGTCTTGTTTATCTCCATTTTTTTTTAATAAAACCGGCATTACTAGACCATGTTTTCATTGTTTGGGAAAAGAATCAATGAAGGAGGATAAGCAACTGAATTAGAGGTATTCTTTAGCATGGTATGACTAATAGTATCCTTTCCTACAGCTTTACCGATTTTTAATGTCTTTAGAATGTCATTAATATCAAACGGTATGTCTGATATGGTCGAGTCTGTTCTAGATTCTATTACAGGTACGTCAATGTTAGTATCGTTTTAAGTAGATATTGAAACAAAGTAATCGTTTAGTATATTAGTCTTAATAACGTCATCCATTTCTATATTTCCAGTCGCACTCCTTAACGACGGTATACTATTAGATGTGTCTGATGATTTTATTAACCTGCGGACTTGTTTCCAAAAGTTTCTAGGATTTGTATCACTGTAATTGTCTATAAGGCCGTTTATATCAGCATAAAATAATTCTTTTGTCCTTTCATTCAGATTGTTTACACCATTTCGCTGTTTCCTAAATTTGTTCAAATTATCTGACTGGGTGTTGCGCGTCGCTGACAGCCAGCCAGAGATTGCGTTACATATTTGGTCTGTAATTGCTCAAGCAAAAGTTGGATGTATCAACATGATACAAAGATGGCTGAAAACGTCGCATTAAACAGGATATATATAACTATAAGACGTTTCGTCACACAATTTTAGTAATGTTTTGGATCGAAATGACAGAAAAGATATCAACTCATAGTCAATATTATTTATTACACAGAAATAAAGATTAATGAAACGTGTATTATGTGGCTTTTTCTGATGAAAGTCACACGTTTGTCTCGGCTGTCATGAGGTATTTTTGGAGGCGACCATGAAATGCAACGGTAAATATTAATAATAATAAAAAAAAAAAAACCATTATGTGTTACAGGTTTTGCTCCCTATTTTTTGTTTTTAACCAGCCACACGGTCTGTATTGGTGTTTTAAAACAAAATCTCTTCAACAACAAATGGTTGGTTAATCTCCGTTACCATTGATATAGACCGTAGGCTAAGATCATGCGTAGAAACCTCGAACAAGTAGTGTACACATAGTATGAGTAATTGTAGATTACACATGTGTATGTCTACAGTATACATTCACTGCATGTACATGTCACATACTCGCTACATCATCAACACGTGTGTGTCACGCTCTGTTCTACGATCTTTGAGTTTTGATCACAGTCTCGATCGACACACGTAAATAAGTTTACGTCATACACATTTACCTAATCAATGGCGTTTCTAAATGATGAGAACGTGGCACAACGTCGTATACTAGTAGGTAACAGGTTCCACAGTCTAACAGTAGGAAAGAAGGATACGTTAGATAATTCAAGTCTGTTGTTAGG